CAGTTGAAGGTCTTTTTCAAAAACGGACACCTGCTATGAAGGTTTATTTTAAAAACGGACATCTCCTCAACAGCCAATAAGAATGCTGTATTGTGATCACATGACTGAGAAATTTGTTTTCAACTTTTCTGATGTTAATCGTTTTATTTGTGTTTATCACTAGTTTAAACTGATTTTTTTTTTGGATATTGTTGGTTTACAAAGTAGATTTATGGAATCAAATATATCTGTCAATCCAGGGACGACGCGTAAGAGGAAGAGCGATCCCGAAAAATTGAAAAAAACACCCAGAAACGACAAAAGTAAGTCTAATCATTAAACTCAATCATGTACTTAAACATGTGATTGCTGTAACAAATGGTCAATAGGTGGGTGGAAATTTTTATATGTTAAAAGTTACTATATTATATTCATCCGAGTTATTAAGAGTTTTTCAACCAGAAGTGTTCGATGTTCGATAATGTCCGATTTTAAAATATGAAGCTTATAAGTTAGCTGTATAAACATGACCAGCTTAGTACTACTTTTCTTAAGTGGTAAAGTTCTGCTATAGGACGTGAGAGCTTACATGAAGAGTCAAATGATAACGGGTTGAGACTAATAAACTTTGCAAGTACTAAAAACATGATAGTAGGAGGAACAACATTTCCCCATAAAATTATACACAAAGCAACATGGAAATCCCCTGATTTCCATGTTCGAAACGAAACCGGAAACGAAACCATTAACCAGATAGATCACATCCTGATAGATTCAAGGCACTCCTCTGATCTCATAGACGTCAGAAGCTACCGAGGCCCAAACATTGGCAGTGACCACTTTCTTGTAATGGCAAAAATCAGAGGAAGAATATCAATCCTAAAGAAAGATAAACACACGAAACAAGACAGAATTAATGTTGATAATTTGCGCATTGAAACCGTTGCGAGAGAGTATAGGAGACAAATGGACGAGGAAATGGAGAGCTTGGAGGTGGGGGAAAATGTAGAGGAACTGTGGACAAAATGTAAAAACATAATAACTGAGAAAGCAACAAAAATATTGGGGAGAACCAAACCAAACCAGTTAAAGAAAACGAATGGTTTGACAAGGAGTGCCAAGAAGCAACAGATAACAAAAACAGGGCATACCTAAAGATAAAGCAAGCTGGATGCACAAGAAGAGCAAAGGAAGAATACCGGACACCAAGAAGAGAAAAAAACGATTACATAGAAGAAAAAAAAGAAAAATTTGAGCAAAAGCAGTTGGAAAGCACAGAATGGCTAAGAAATCAAAATGAAACTCGAAAGTTCTACAGAAATCTAAACAAAATGCGCAAAGAGTTTAAGCCAAGAATAAGGAGCTGTAAGGATGTAGAAGGAAACATCCTAAATGATACAGCCTCAATCCTAAACAGATGGGTTGAATTTTTCGATGCAAAATTTAATGGCCATCATGTCGAAGAAGCAGATAACACCCTAGCAAATCGAAATGATTGGAATCCTTTCAACCCAAACGAAAGACCACCTACCATCGAAAACGTTGCCCAAGCCATTAAAAAGCTTAAAAATAATAAATCACCAGGAGTTGATCAAATTTGCAGTGAGCTCTACAAAAATGGTGGCGATGCCCTACTACAGACACTGCATAAGCTTTTACTTCTTGTTTGGCATAATGAGACCATGCCTTGTGAATGGTCTCAAGGCGTGATATGCCCGTTACATAAAAAGGTGACCAGCTCCAGTGTGACAACTATAGAGGTATAACCCTGTTAACAACTGCTTACAAAATACTAGCAAATATTCTCTACGAAAGGTTGCAAGTTTACACAGTGGGCATAATTGGTAAATATAAAGTTGGATTTACTCCAGAAAAATCAACAATTCACCAGATTCATTCAATAAGACAGATTCTCGAGAAAACATTAGAATTCAATATTGAAACCCATCACCTATTCGTCGACTTCAAGGCCACATACGACAGTGTCAAGAGAATGCATGAGTGCTATACCAATCAATGCATGAGTTTGGTATAGCAGAGAAACTTATCCGACTAATGAGAATGACAATGTCTAACTTAGAAGCCACTGTTAGAATACAGCGAGGGAGTTCTAGATCCTTTGAGATAAAGGATGGACTCAGACAAGGAGATGCTCTGGCTTGCCTCCTATTTAATATTGCCTTAGAAAAGGCAGTCCGAGATACACGAATTAGGGATGGCAGTACTATTTACAATAGATCGATACAAGTCTTAGCATATGCTGATGACATTGACATAGTAGGGCGTAGCAAGCGAGATGTTGAGCAATATCTCCTAGAATTGGAAACAGCGGCGAAACAGGTCGGTCTAGTCATCAACGAAGACAAAACCAAGTACATGCTGGTTACAAAGGATCCGATAGCAAATGAGGAACGAGAAACAGTCTTTGGAAGTCATACCTTTGGACGTGTTGACAACTTCACATACCTTGGGTCGCTATTGACTGCTACCAATAAAACAAGCGAAGAAATCAAAAGATGAATAAATCTTACAAATAGGGCACACTATGGACTCCAAAAGCATTTCCACTCAAGAAACATTCAAAGAAAAACTTTTGGGAATATTTGAGCGTAAAATACTCCGCAAAATATTTGGAGCTGTAAACGACCAAGGGCAGTGGCGCAGAAGATATAATTTTAAATTGTATCAGCTCTTTGATGAGCCAGATGTCATAACGTTCATTAAAACATAGCGACTTAGATGTTCTGGACACATAATACGAATGCCAGAAAATACCATTGCTAAAAAGCTAACCACAGGAACACCTGTGGGAAAAAGAAGCAAAGGCCGACCGCGAATTAGGTGATTAGATGGAGTAGAAACCGACTTACGAATATTAAAAATCAGAAGATGGCAACATGTTGCCAAAAACCGAACAGAATGGCGACGAATCTTAGAGCAGGCCAAGATCCACAGAGGATTGTCGAGCCAAAGATGATGAAAGTTCTGCTAAAGTTTTTCATAAAATTTAGAGATTTCTAATAAAAATTAGGACCATTGGCTTAAATGAACAGACTATTCATTGAATTAACTAAAGTTTAAATAATTCCTCCTTTTGTTTGTTCATGCAGGTACTCAGCCTAAGGTCTTTCTCTGTACCCCACCTGTCATCACCGAATTGGATATCAGCGCCAGCTTTTAACAATACATGATGTCATGGAGTTCCACAAACCCTTTTACTCCATCCCAGAAAAAAGCAAGCAAGATGCGTTTATTTTGAAATACTGTCGGGCTGGTCCACCCAATTCCAAAAGAAAGAAGCTTGAGCCTATAAAGGAGAAAACCACAATCTTCCAATATTCGGTTGTAAACCACGCTGGCAACAATCTCAACGTCTGCAGAGATGCTTCTCTCAAAGTGTTGCAGCCTATTACTAAACATAGAATTATAGGAGGGTTCCGAAAATTTAAAAACGGTGCATCTCAGATCCCAGTGGAAACCTCAGGTAAAAACCACAAAGAAGTTAAGTTTGCTCCGAAAAGATAAGAAGTAAAAAAGTTCATCTGTAGTTTTCAAGCTATTGAATCGCATTATTCACGACATCACTCGTCACGTGTCTACCTACCATCAGACCTGAATATCGCCAAAATGTGAAAAATGTTCAATTATGGTAAAGAAGAATTTGAGAAGGTTATTCAGGGATTTTTCAGGAAAATAGTTTACTTAGATTTCAACATTGGATTCTCTTACCCTAACATGGATGAATATAGTATTTGTCTAGAATTACAAAACCTTATCCAAGTGAAAAAAACGGAGGAAGAAAAAAGGTGTCTAAAAACGAAAATGGAGTTACACAACAAACAAGCCCAAGCGTTCTTCCAAAACATGCGATAAAAACGACAAGGATGTTTTATTTTGAGTTTTGATTGTCAGAAGAACCTTGTTTTGCCGAAAGTAACTGATCAAAGTGCGTACTATTCACGATAGTTTTACTGTTACAACCTTTCAGTAGTTAAAGGTTTGTCAAATGAATCCCTGAATCCCAGTATCGTCTCAATTTATACCTGGACGAAAGACAAAGCAAAAAATTATGTAACGAGATTGCTTCCATTGTATTCAATGAGTTGAGATCAGCTGATCTCTCAGGATATGACTCCAATCGTTTGGTGTCTGAAGTGACGATTCATGTAAGTTTAAAATTAGTAATGCTGATTTTGATGGTGATCTTGTGTTAATTTCAATTTGAATGTTACTGAAGTTTTAATATTTTATAAGTTCGAATATTTTACTTTATAAATACATTTTTAGTTAAATTGCTTTGTAGGTACTAATGCAACTTGAATAAAAGATTTTAAAATTGGAATTTTCATTTAAAATACCTGATTCCTAATATAATTGTTATAAGCAATAAATATTAATTTAGGTCCAAACTGACGGTTCCCTCTTTCAAATACAATTGGCATCAAAAACGGACACCTACCATCACATTTGGATCAAACGTGACCCATATTTGTTTCAAAAGCGGACATATTTATTTTCAAATAATAATTTTATAAATTTTCATATATCAGAATATATCAGAATGTCCACAAGATTACTTTTGAAGCGTTCACTAAAATCATAGGAAATGATTTATATTTTTTTTTTATAAAAAGAATATTAACGTTTGTGTACAAAAAAAAAACGAATTTATTTCAATTTTTCTTGCATGACACATGTCAGTCTTTGATATTAAGCCACTAATTTATAGTATAGGTACATTGCTATTTTATACAGAGTGGAAACGTGGACTCTTGGCAAGTATAAAGCAGATAGATAGAACGCAGATGAGATCTTGCATCTATGTATCCATCAATGAGGAGCTAAGAAGGATGGGGCCTAACAGAGAACTATAAAAAATTGTAAAAACAGAAAAACGAGTTATCTAGGAGATATTCACACAGAAGGAAAATACAACTTCCTACGTTTTATAGTGAAAGCGAAAGTGGAAGGAAAAAGAAGTAAAAGAAGAAGAAAATGCTCATAGAATATACGAGGCTGCAAAATCAATAAAATCCATTCATTCTTATGAACAGCTAAATATAAAGATACAAAGAAAAAGAAATTTTAATAAAAAATAATATTATTACACACGGCAACAATAATAATAAAAAAATCAGTGTTGGGGAATTTTTTGCATTTTGGGATATTTTCAGTTACATTATCGTCGAATCCACTATTGTAAACATTGATAATATCATAATTGAAGATTTGATTAATAGTAGACTTGAGATGATCCATTAATTGGTCTTCTATTTAAACGTAAAAAATGATTTGTAATCTTTCGCTGTAAATTTTTAATAGATAGATACTGATTGATTTATATAATTTTTAGGTATTGTCACTCGCGAAGCATTAAAACGGCTTCTCTTTGGTACATACTTCGATCAGGATTCTGATGAAGACAAACGCTATGAAGAAATTACCGACTCGGAGGCATTAAGAGAACTAGCAGTTAATTGTCTAATAGAATACAATGCCACACATAAGAGCAAAATGGACATTGTGCTTTTTGACTATGCTTTAGAACATTTGTCCAAAATTTGTCGAATTCTCTCAATGAGATGTGGGAGTGCATTACTAGTAAGATTTGCATTATTTTCTACATTCTTTTTTATGGTACACAATCAGACTAGCCGAAGTCAAAACAGCTGGCTAGTCCATCGGCAAAGTAGCTGGGTAGTATACAACGGATGTTAAATAAAACAACACAATAAAACTATAGAAAAGCACAGTATAAAAATCAGAAAAAACTACTAATGTAATCAAATTCTGACAATAAAAGTGTTGCAGGGCGAGCATGGAAACGTCTGTCACGGGACAGGACTGGCAAACAAATTGTTTAAAAAATGTTTTATCTGTAATATAAATGTAAGCTAGTTTTATCTAAATACATTATAGACTGTCTATTGCAATTATGGCGCAGTAGAAAATTTAATTATGACCGTTCTGTGTTCAATAATTATACAGGGTGTTTTAAAAAAAGGTAACCCCGTCTCTAGGGTAGGTAAAACACTGAAAAATAATTGGGGTTTGCTTAGTAAAAAATGTTTGTAACGCCATCCGTTTTCAAGATACAGGGCGTTAAAGTAAAAAAAAATTTACGTATTTTTTACGATTTTGCCGAAACTACTGGCAACATTGTAATGAAATTTTATACGAATATGTTTTGGAAGCTGATACATCTTATGAATTTGTTTTTATATCTTATTCTCATAGAGGGCGCTAGTTACACGGATCGTACTAAGTATTATTCAATATAACTTTTTTAAGAGTATAATTATTATTAATCAAAATTTCAAGTAAACTTAAACATCATTCAATTTTACACGAAAAAGGTACTCTTGGTAAAACTCGATACTGTGTACAGTTTTCGAAATATTTTGATTTGAAAATTATGAAGTAATAATTGATGCTGGTATAAAATAGTTAGTAATTAAACAAAATTCACAAGAAGAAAATTAAATTAATGAAGAAGAACATAAAATAAAATTCAATTACAGTAAGTGTTCAAAATGCCCTCCGTTTTCGCGAATATACAAGTCTATTCTTTTTTCTAAAGATTCCATTAACCTTCTAAACGGTAAAGGATCATCTATGATGTCATTAAATTGACGTTGAATTCTTTCTTCCAATTCTTGGCGTGAATTTACCTCTGTAGCATAGACTTTTTCCTTAATATACGAACAAACTGCGTAGTCCGAGTTAAATATACCTTGTCGCGTAAAAGTGGCCTCGTCCGTAAAAAAAATGCATTTTAAAAAATTTGGATTGTGGACTGTCCTTTGTTGCAATGTTTCACAAAAATCCACTCTAACCGGTAGATCATCTGGCAAGAGCTCTTGGACTTGTCTGTAATGATAAGGATGTAATTACTGTTCTTTCAGTATCCGATAAGTACTTGAAGAAGAAGTATTTGTTTGTCTTGCTATATTCCTTTCGCTAACTGTTGGATCTTGGTCAAGTAAATTTAAAATATTATTTTCTTTATTAATTGTTCTTGTTGTTCTTGGTCTACCAAAATTTATTTTATTTGGTCTCACATTCCCAGTTTCTCGACAACATTGTTCAACGGCTCTAAATGTTTTTTTACTTGGTAACTTTTCTGCTTAACGTGTCACAACTGTACTAGAACATTCGCCTAAGGTTAATAACATGTCAGTGTATTCAACATTTTGATACATTTTGATTTGATTTTACAAATAACAAGGTTGCAAAACTCCAATTATTGTTGATTTATCGTCATAATAATCAATAAATGTCAAATTTCTATGGCACACTTGGAGAAAATAGAGGTATTTCTATTAGAACTTTATGATTACTACCAGCATCAATTATTACTTCATAATTTTTAAATCAAAATATTCCGAAAACGGTACACAGTATCGAGTTTTACCAAGAGTACCTTTTTCGTGTAAAATTGAATGATGTTTAAGTTTACTTGAAATTTTGATTAATAATTATACTCTTAAAAAAGTTATAATGACTAATACTTAGTATGATCCGTGTAACTAGCGCCCTCTATGAGAATCAGATATAAAAACAAATTCATAAGATGTATCAGCTTCCAAAACATATTCGTATAAAATTTCATTACAATGTTGCCAGTAGTTTCGGCAAAATCGTAAGAAATGCGTAATTTTTTTTTTTCTTCAACGCCCTGTATCTTGAAAACGGATGGCGTTACAAAAATTTTTTACTAAGCCAACCCCAATTATTTTTCAGTTTTTTACCTACTCTAGAGACGGGGTTACCTTTTTTTGAAACACCCTGTATATTTCGATTATTTCAAATGTTAGATAATATTTATTATTCACTTATATTGTGGTTTTATATTACGTATTATATTGCAGTTTTTTCCCTCGATATGTTTGATCCTGTCTAATATCATATTTCCTTAGATTTCCAACGTACTGAGATAATAGACAAAGATTTAACCCTTTAAATCTTAATTAAAAAGTGACCGACCACTATAATATAAGCAAGAAAACATATATTATCAACAAAGAGACAACAACTTGTGCTAGACTTAACACTTAATAAAATAGAAAAATCAAAAATCAACAAAATAATTGATAAGAAAAAGTCTAGGCAAGTACAAAATAATACAGTTAAATGCAATAGTACAAGTAAATAAATGCATACTAGACTGGAAGAAAAAAAAACAAAGGTAAAAATCTAATTACAACACTAATTAATGATGAAAACAAGGAAATTACAAAATTCAAAAAACAACCATTAGATAGAAATCTACTACCAAAAATGAAAGTAATCAAAAGAAAATCACCACCAGGTAAAGACGACAAACGCTGAAAAGGAATACGGCAGGTTTGCACTCGACCGTTTTGCGCCCTTACCTGAAATCGACCGGTTTGCGCTTTGCAATTTTCATAATAGAAATATCTAACTACTATAGTTTCCTTAATCGGCCGATTTGCACTCTCTTGCAATATAATTTTACTTTCATTCTACAATAATATTCTGGTGAACCCGCAATGAACAAACTAACATGTCAAATAAACAGAAACATCTTTTTCTTTTAAATTTGAAAAAAAAATGTCAATTCAAACCTAACAAAATTATTAAATTTTTCTAATACTGTCGAACAACAGAATGTTCTTTAACCTCTAATGCCTCTGTTTATAATCCTTCTACCTGGAAGTTAATTGTTTATATATAATTAGTAACTAGAATTCCCAACATGAGAGATCGCTGGAACTAACTTTCCTTTCTACCTGATAATGCGAACTGGTAACTACTTTTGTCATTAACAAAGGGTATGGTAACAGAAAAATTACCTGAAAATTCTTCGTAATAATGACCATATTGATGGTCAATCATTTCTATTGCATTTTTTGAGATCGTAGGATCAAGAATTATTGTGAATCAGTGTGAGTTAGTGTTTTAAAAATGGATGTGCAAATTATTGAAACTTCGAAGGGAAAACCATGTGCATTGTATTTAAAGGGTTCAGTTTTCGTATGAAAAAAACAAATAGAGATGAAAAACTGAAAGGCCACATAATTATGGATAATAACACAATAATTAAGGAAGCCAAACATCTGTGTAAACCGAGTGTTGCAGCGACAGAAGTGAAGCAGTGTGTCTTCAATGCTCGAAAAAGAGCTAGGGAAGACATTTGCCGATGTCAAAAATATATCAAGATGAATTTCAAAGATTATATAGTCAAGGACTGGATTTTGTGACAGACATCCCAAACTTCTGTTCAGTGAAAAGTGGTTTAAACGATTGTAGAAAACGTGCGCGTGGGCTGCTCACAGATCCAGCGGCAGCATCCGAAATAGTATTTCCATAAGAAATTATTACAATGAGCGACAAAACGAAATTTTTATTTATCGACAAGACCACTCCCTCGGGATACAGAATCTTGGTGTTTGCCAGCAACAAAGCTAGGGAGATTTTGGTTAACAGTAAGGCCACTGTGTTAATCGTTCAAAAGCTGCAGTAAGCAATTTAGTCAAATATATACCGTTCATATCGATATTGGTAGTACGTCAGAGGAGACAAATACAATCCCATTGATATTTGCGTTACTTCCTAACAAAACCAACGAGACATACGATATGTTATTTTCATAAATGAAAGAGAAACTACCAAATTGGAAACCATCTCTTATAAAACTGGATTTTGAACAGGCAGTAATTGGTGCATTAGAAAATTATTTTTTGTCATGGAAGCAGTATAGGCACTGTGATTTAATACCTTGAGTTTGTTTTCAATCCGACGTCGGCCGTCGTCGCCCGATATCGGATCGGGAGAAATACGGTTCCAATGTAGGTGTACACTTATTCTAGAGAAACCACTCAACCGTTACCGTCGACGTGTGGACGTTAGCCCAGTACCTCCAACGTCCAAACGTCGACGGCCGCGGCTTACGTCTGTTCAGAGAAACCAGCGCCTAAGATCACACATAAATTCTGCATAGAAGTTTAAAGCCGACTTTTTCTCAAAACTACCTAATTACTTACATAAATGGTGAACGTAACCTACAATATCCATAGCGCCTTTCAACAAGCTCTATAATCTTTGTGTAAAAGGATGTTCTTTTACTTAGAAAATTATAAAATGTATAGTAATAGACAAACTGCTCTTAGCGCAAAATATTATGTAAAAAGTTTTTGTATTTAATAATATTTTAATATAGGTAAATCTTAAACACTAGGTTGGTATAAGTGGCTCTGGTAGACAATCTCTAACTCGTCTCGCAGGTGAGATATACGGAATGAAGCTCTTCCAAGCTGAAATCACAAACAATTATTCACTTACGGATTGGAGAGACGATATTAAAAAGGTTTGTAAGGAATCAGGCGGTAGAGGAAAGGACACTATATTTCTAATTGGTGAAGGTCAAATAAAAGACGAAAGCTTTCTTGAAGATGTCGATTGTCTTCTTAATTCTGGTGAAGTACCTAATATATATCAAATTGATGAGAAACAAGAGATTTTAGATATGGTTAAACTAGCTGCACAAGGTAAATATTACTTATCAAAAATATAATGTATAATTTAATTCGAAATATATTAGATACAGAACTACTTAATTTCATTGTCATCTCAGAGAAACACATTTTTTTATTTCACTACATCAGCTGATCTTGTTGATGTTACGTGAGAATTCGATTCCCCTTTATGCAATCAGTTTCTGCGTAAATGTTTAAACATCAAATGCTTGATTCTACAGAATAATAGAACACGTACTAGACCCATGTCGTTTTATAACGCACATGAAGCGAAATAAGTTTTAAATAAGGTATTCCATATATAATGTATACGGTCCTGGAAATGTTGTGTCCTAAGGCAGGCCTATAAATTTTATGCATAACTATCTACATCAGCGTATCTCTTATTTATGGTAATTTTTAAAATTGTAGGGTGATTATAGAGTGATTCGCAATAAAAAATTACGGTGATCGTCTTTTCCAAGTTTGTGAGTGATGAAAATGCCGTTTTCATCCACTGCTGGACATAGGCCTCCCTCATTTTTGTCCATTGTGCTTTCTCTTGAGCACTTTTCATTCAATTTTTTGACATTTTCTTGAGATCGTCAGTCCAACGAGTAGGTGGTCTTTCTCTAATTCTTTTGTCTAATCTCGGCCTCCACTTCAGTAATCTCTTCGTCCACCTTTCATCACTGATTCGGGCGACGTGTCCGGCCTAGTTCCATTTCAGTGTGGCAATTCGGGAAATTACATCGGTAACTCCTGTTCTTCGTCTTAAGTCTTCATTTCTAACTCGATCACGAAGCGATATATTTAGCATTGACCTTTCCATTTTCCTCTGAGCTATTTGCAGCGTTTTATAACTTTTAGCTATCATTGTCAAAGTTTCGAGACCATAGGTCATCACAGGCAACACATATTGGTCAAATGTTTTACGTTTAAAAGAAATTGGTATATCGCTTTTAAAAATGTCTTTGAGTTTTCAATAGGCTGTCCATGCTAGGTTTATTCTTCTTCGTAGTTCACATGTTTGGTTGTCTCTTGGGATCTTAATTTCGTGTCCAAAATATATGTATTTTTCCACCAGCTCTACTTCGTTGTCTCCAATATTGATATTTTTGCTAGCTAATAGGTTTGTTATGAATTTTGTCTTGGATATGTTTATTTTAAGTCCCACACTAGCCTAGCACACACTTACTGAAGTTTATGTAGCATTGTACATATCTCCTTGAGGTTGTCCGAGAACAAATCTATGTCGTCCGCGAATTTCAAATTTGTTAATCTTTTACCGTCAATGTTAGGCCTTTCTCTTCCCAGTTAAGTTTTTACAAGCATATTCTAGTACTGTGGTAAATAGTTTAGGTGATAAGGTATCACCCTATCGGACTCCTCTGCCGATTGGGATATGATCATGTAGTTTTACTGACATAGTTGCGTTGTTGTATGTATTATAAATTACCCTTGTATATCGGTAGTCAATGCGGCATGCTTATAGTACTTTTAGGATTTTGTCAAATTTTACCGTGTCAAAGGCTTTATGGAAATCTACAAAAGTCAGAACCAGTAGTCGATTTTATTCGATAGTCTTTTCTATTACCGTTTTAATGCTTTGTAGGTGATCATTTGTTCCAAATCCGGTACAAAATCTCACTTGCTCTATTGGCTGTTAGAAATCAAGTTTTTTTCTCAAGACGATTCGTTACTATTCTTATAAGGAGTTTGTATACGTGACTAAGAAGATTTATAGGTCTGTAGTTTTCTTATTCATGGGGATCTTCTTTTTTATACAATATAATTACCTCAGCATTGTGCAATTTTCTTGGGTAGGCAAGTACCTCCGATTTTGATTGCATCAGTATCTACACAATCTTCGCCTAGAGATTTGTTATTCTTAGCTTTTCTTAAGGCTAGTTTTATTTCGTCCATTGTGATTTCTGGTAGTAATTATGGTCCTTGGTTAAAAATGCACTGTTTTCTTGTTAATATTTCTAGTACTTGATCTTTTCTGCTATTTGCTTTGTGTTGGTTTGTGTACAGCAATGTGAAGAAGACTTCACCTATTTTAAGTGTTTCCTCTATGTTGGTTGTAAGATGACCATTTCTATGTTTAATCTTTATTATCTGCCTTGTTCCCCTTCTTAGTCTTTTTCTCAATACTTTCATACTTCTATTGTTCTCAATGGTATGTTCAATTTGTTCTTGGTTGTATTTTAGAGTGTCTTGTCTAACAGCTTCGGATATTGCTTTATTTAATTTTTGTAGTTCTTCGGCTTTAGTTTTCGTCTCGCTTCTAATTTATCTTCTTTTCTGCATTAATTGCCTAGTAGTTTGGCTAATCTTCTCTTTTTTTAAGTTCAAGGACAGAATTTGTTTTGAGTTTCCAGTAAAACATTTGTTAATTTATTATTTAAGTCATTTATATTATTTTCTGTTTTATGACTACTAAGGATATCAGAAATACATTGCTGAAAACTATCTACATCTGATGGTTTCATCCATGGTTTTGATTTGTTCTTCTTTTTAATCATCGTATACCTCTCCTTTAAGCTTATTTCTATTTTACCGCGTACAATTCTATGATCGCTACTGGTAACAAATCTGTTTAGAACCGTAATGTCTTTAACGGTGTGTTTGCTACACCGTAACGGTGTAGCAAAATGAACTACACCGTAACGGTGTAGTTCATTTTGAGGACATTTTTCCATTAGGACTTTGCCATGTGCACCTTCTCTATAGTTTCTTAAAAAAAACTGTTCATTTGAAATAGTTTATGTTGCAGCATGAACCTTAAAGATATCTCGCCACGTTTATTTCTACCATCCAAGCTAAAGTTTCCCAGTGGTTTTTCTGTAGGGATGGATTTCGCTCCTGTTTTGGCGTTAAAATCAACACATATAAAAGTAAAATATGCTTGATGGTCTTTAAGAGCAGCTTCAAAATCATCATAGAATAGATCCACTTCTTCTTCATCATGGTCTGTTGTTGGTGCATAAACCTGTATTATTTTCATATTATACCTTGTATTTAATTTAAGAGTAAGACAAATCACTCTTGTGGAAAATTTCTTTAGTGATACTGTACTTGTTTGGAGACGATTGTATATAATGAAGCCGGTTCCTCCCAAGAAATTATTGTCGTCACCTACGTGGTAAAAACTATGTCCTGATTTTAGTTTAATTAAGTGTTCGCCACGTCTTCTGACTTCGCTGAGACCGACTATGTTCCACTTTATGTTTTCTAGTTCGTACTCAAGTTCCGTAAGTCTTTCATTAGATAGTAGGGAACGTGTATTATATGTTCCTATATAAGGTGTCGTCTTATTCGGGTAACTTTTTTCTGCTTTGTCAATTTTTTGTCCCCCCAGGATCCATGGGACAGACTAATAATTTATCAGTGCAAGATTGTGGAAATAATTTCCTATTTGCCTGGGGTATTTGCGTGTTTTCGACTGACATTTTCGTGAGGAGAATTTAGTCTTAAACACCACGCTGGCTAGACGTTGTGGTGAGTGTTTGTTTCAGCCGCTCATTCTGGGTCCGACGCTGTTTGCGGCCGCCCACTCTGGATCGGATGTCACGGGTTGTGATAATATACTATTCCTAAAATCAAAGGTTGATAACTTCGCGATCTTCGCCGTACCGAAAGTATTTATTTGTCGCCTTAGATGCCGTTCTGGACTTCATTCGTGACCCTGGACAAGGGATCCTTAGCTGGTGCTAGCTTCCCTGGTCAAGAAGCTCCTGGAACCTGCGGAGGACAGAGATTGATTCACTTTCCCTTATAGAACTATCTAATAAAATCCAAAGGACTCAAAAGGAGTTCCTACCCGGTACCCGTAAACCAGTTTTGTAAAACGGTTTCAATAAATCTAATACTGTTCTGATCTCTATTTCAAACATCAAATTTGAAGGACTGTCACTAGTTGTACTATGCGGGGTTCTTTTGTAATTTAGTATAAATTTGTTAAGCTGTAGCTTCCTTTCATTATTATCTCATTTTTGTACATGTAGCACTTGTTTGAATGTTTGTACGTACCTCTCTACCATTCCATTTGTAGCTAGATGATAATGGTGTACTGAATTTGTAAAAGATTATATTTTGCGATATAAATTGTTTATATTAGTAACTAGTAAACGTTTGTGCATTATCTAAAACTAAAGAATTTAGAATTCCAAATGTACAAAAAATTTTTCTTAGTAAGCTCATGGTAGTTTTGCTTCTCAAATCTTTAACCATATGTATTTCTGGCCATCTAGTATATGCATCCACTAGAATAAAATAGTGTGAATTTATAAAAGGACCTACATAATCTACGTGAACGCTTTCAAAAGGGGTTTTAGGTGTCTCCCATGGGTATACTTCTGTTTTTTCTGGATTATTCCTGATTTTGTTGCAGTCTGTACAATTTTTACATATATCTTCTATATCTTTAGAAATTTGTGGTCACCTGTGGTATTCTCTTGCAAGCATCTTCATCTTGACTATGCCAAAATGAGCAGTGTGTAATTCATTTAAAACATTTTTACGTAGGTTACTTGGAATTACTGTCATTTGTTGATGAAAAATGCAATTTCCTTGTAAAGAAAATTCTATCTGTGTGACATTGAATCTATCCCTAGCATCGATCAGTTTTTAAGTTCCTAGAGCATTGTAAAGATTTTGTAGTGTGGGGTCTCTTGAAGTTTCAAAACTTTTAAAAGTAACAGGTAAAGTTTCTATTTGACTGATTTCAAACTGATCTCCCACGTCGTAATCGAATTCAGAAGTAGTACCAAGAGGTAATTTTGTAAAGACAAGGACTTTTGTAATTTTACACTTAATTATGTAATTAAAACTTTGAAGAAACCCCCTCTGTGGCTCAGTGGTAAGAGCGCCTACCTTTAAATCTAAAGGTCGTGAGTTCGAATTTCATCTGGGTGGAAATTTTCGTTTATTAAAAATTGATATATTGAACTTAATTTCTATCCTTCTGCGATCGGTACTCACCAGAGGGACCGCAGACGTTCGGATACAATTAGCGTCTCTTAGCAAAGACAATGACGTCGACTTTGCTAAGTATCAAGACAATTACTCGACACACACACACACACACTACACTAGGTACCTGACTGTACCATGCCAATGATCATAGTTGTCGAGGCATTAACCAATAAAAAAAAAAACTTTAAAGAAACAGTGCAGAATGTTGCATTCTAGTTGTAGTTAGTGTAGGTAAATTTTAAGATGGAGAGAATACTTAAACTAAAGTTTGATTATCCACATAAAGTGTAAACTCTACCAAATAGATAATAGTAAAAATTTTTAATACCAAAAATTATGGCATGTGCTTCATTATCTATTTAAGCATATTTTATTGTACTTTTATAAGTGGTTGTAAAGCAAATTGTATTGATGTCTTAGATCCATCCAGATATATGTGAGATAATACTACTCCGACTGCATATGGACTCGCATCAGTTGCAAGTTTTAAAGTAAACTTAAGTCAAAATATGCCAAAATTTTATAAGAGATCATTTTTCTTTTTACTGCTGTAAACGCTTCTTGACGTTTTCTGTCCAATTTGAAATGTACTCCATCTTTAAGATAATTGTAAATTGAATATAAAATATGGCTCAAATTTTGTAAGAACCGTCCGTAATAAGTTATGGACCCTACTAATTCTCTAACGTATGTCTTATGTATAGGTACTTTTGCTGTCTGTATAGTTTTCATATTTTCTTTGGTTTCATTTTTGTCAATTTCATTTCCACAGTATTCAATCTGGTTTGCTAAAAATTGACATTTGTCAGGATTGACTCTAATATTGTGTTTTGTAAGTCTGCTAAGAACTAATTCTAGTATTTGATAATGTAACTCCTCGTTGGGTGCTGTAATTTTTATGTCATCCAGGAAAACTGTCACTCCTGGGATATCTTTTAAAATGTTTAAATGTATTAAATTTTCCTCTGCCATATTGTAGGTGCACTGGAAATTCCATACATTAATCTTGTATTTCTATACAATCCTGTGGGTGTACTATGTATTAAGTTTTCCCTATCTTCTGAGCGTACTTTCATTTGTAGGTATTCTTGTTGTAAGTCAAGCTTTGTAAACTTATTTTCACCAACCATGGTAGAAAATAGAGCTTTAATTGTGGGCATGGGTATACGTCTACCACTAAATGTTTGTTAGGTGTACCTACTTTTAAAATATCCACAAATCCGTACTTTTCATGCATACTTTGCTCAGATGGCCTCCTCGTTTACAGTTGCTATAGACTAAATGTGTTTTATTACATTTTTTCGCAATATGTTGTGAAGATCCGCATCTAAAACTATATTACATTTTTTATATTATCTAAAATATATTTTTAGTTTAGTTATGATGAATGGTTGTGATGACACTAGAAACTTTATTTATATTAGGACTTGTATTTGACTTCTGTAATCGAGCTGCATCTCGGGTAGATGCTTCCATGCTGACGGCAACTTCTAATGTTTCTACATTGTAAGATCCTTGTAGTCTAGGAGTCTGCTTTGAATATTTTGGTTTCGAAGACCAATTGATTCCTCAGATTATATGTATTTAAATAATCAAAAAATTTGCTAATCTACGTAAAAGTTTTAGCTAATCTACGTAAAGCTGTAATATATTCATTGGCACTTTATTACAAACATATTACAAAGAATATCATATGCATCTGGACCCATGTAGTATAAAAGGTATGCGGCTTTCTTATCTTCTGGCACTGCAAATACATTGAATGCACTCTGAAGGCGTTGTAACCACCATTTAAAATTCTTGAATACATCCTAAGTTTCAATGCTAAATACTGTGTGAATTGAATGGATTGTAGTCTCAGTCATCTTTTAAATGTATATGTAAGTGTAAATTAGACACAATTCAATTATGTAGTAGATTATTTGTAAATTTTTACTGTGAGTCACCACGCTCCATTTAGGATATGTATGTATAATGGCCTTAATATTTGTATTTCCTTGTAGATTCGACCATCTTCGTCGCCAAGCTGTTGTATATGTACGTGTTATGTACTAAAAAAGGTGTTAAATGTATTTTATGTTCCTTTATTTTACTAATTAAAAACATGTATGTCGTAACTACATAACGTAACTCGTAAGTACTGAAATGAGTAACGTCCCGTGACATCTGTCAACGTCCAAGTGTCATGTCATAGAACTACTAAAATGTCAAGTATATGATACTTTATAAACTAATTTATTCAATGTTTCCACAGACCTTATCATGCTAGTATTATCGCATTCATAAGTACGTCTTTCTGTCGAACATATGTTTAAAAGTTCTGAAAAGTCGTATACAAATATTTCAATTGTATAGGATAATATAAAATATTTAATTATTTAATTATGTAAAATAATGTTTAAGTCATATTGTTGTGAGCTAATTTTGTTTTATTTTTTTTTTATCAGGAGGAAATCGAAACCTAGAAATAAGTCCTCTTGAAGTTTTCTTTTTCTTTACAAAACGCTGTAAAGAGAAACTACATGTGGTAATGTGTTTAAGTCCAGTTGGATCGGCTTTCCGTAATAGGCTTCGCCTGTTTCCATCTCTAATAAATTGCTGTACTATTGACTGGTTTCGAGACTGGCCCGAGCAAGCGCTGGAAGAAGTAGCTCATGTTTGGATGGAAGATATTAATCTTTCAGGTAGCAAACTCCTAAAGTATTAAAATGTTTTGTATTGTGTATTAAAAATATTAAGGCTATTTAAAAACATTTATATCGTAAAATGGGGTGTACAGTAATAGTTTTTTGTCTTCTTGATTACCACAGCTACTTCGTTTAAACTCTTAAAGGCTTAAAAGTTTGGTGTGGTTCCCACTTAAAAGTTAATATACCTATTGTAAAATAAAATGATCTTATTCATGTTACAAAAAAATTTAAATATGTCTGCTTGTCGCAAAATGGACGCAAATCGAGACATCTGATATTAAATCCGTAAATTAATTTTCGAAACCAAATTCAGATTTTTGCTTTAATCTGTGCCTTCTAAGAATTCCAAGGTAAAATAGACTTTGATAAAGATCTTACTAGAGACATGGGAAATCTAAAATTTGCATTCCACAACATATCTCCTCAACTACAAAACCTGAATTTGGTTCGACAAAAGTCTGAATTTGGTTTCGAAAATAGTTTACGGATTTAATATCAGATGTTGCATTTGCGTCCATTCGAAGCCATATCAGAGTTGCTTCCTAAGACAGCAGAGATTTATTTTGACATTCAGAGCGACTGTGAACTGCCGTTATGAAGATCCCTATTAGGGCGAAATACATATAAGCGGATACACAGACGCACTAAACGTGAAATTAAATACTGTCTTTTGCTTTTATTCAGATATACTCTGTAGAAGTACTAGAAACCAATTCGCTAAGGATTTTTGCTTAGTTGGAGAGATATGTTGTGGATTGCAAATTTTAGATTCCCGATGTCTTTAATAACATCTTGTCTGTTTTGCCTTGCAATTCTTAGAAGGTACAGATTAAAGCAACAGTCTGAATATGGTTTCGAAAATTGGTTTACGGATTTAATATTAGATATCGCTATTTGCATCCATTCGAAGCCATGTTAGAGTTTCTTCCTAAGACAGAAGAGATTTATTTTCACGTTCAGAGCAAATGTAAATGGCCGTTGTGTGAGCTCCACTAGGGCGAAATACTTATAAGCGGATACACAGACGCACTCTAGATGAAATCAAATCGTAACTGTCTTTTTATCCTAGAATTAATGAACTTAATGTAATGTTAATCCTTCAAAATTATCGCCAAAATTAATTAGTCGTTGAAATCTTGTAGTTGTGCACAAACTTGATTATCCGCGCCTACGGATCACATCATTAGGTGCTTTTAACAGTGCTTCTTTTTTAATAGGTCAGTTGACCTAACATCAATCACAATAGAACAATACTACAATATACAGTGTAGTATAATTCTCAAAATACAAACAGTAAATTTACTGTTTGTATTTTGAGAACGATTTCCGAAGTGGAAATTGAAACGTCAATAAACGTATTTTTATCTTTAATTGTGGCTTATTCCAGTTTAATAGTAATTAATTTACAATGCCACAAGAAAATAGCTTCAGAACAATACTTATTGGTTTTATTTGACCTGTTGTCTTTTTAGCATTTTAACAACGTTCTAAGATAATCAAATTTAGACGAATTGATTTAAATCGCAACTTATATATATATATATATATATATATATATATATATATATATATATATATATATTATATATATATATATATTATATATTATATATATATATAATGGCTATACACCCCAACGTGGGTTTAAACCGCAAATGCTTTCTAGATCCTATTTCTTAAGTGGATCAGTCTTTTTTTTTTTGTTTATCTTATCTTCTTGACAATATCTCTCCATTTTTTCCTGCCTCTATTTCTTCCTCTCCATTCACTGACTCCTGCCCTTTGGAGGTCTTCTTCAACTTCTTGCAGCCACTTTGATCTCGGATCACTGCCTCATCGCCTGGTCGCCAGATGTGACCTAACCATCTAACTCTGCATTGCTTTTATTTTAGTTACAATGTCTTCCTTAAGTTGTTCCTTAATTTCTGCATTTGTTCTGCTTCTATATTCATTTTGCTCTGTTCTGATTGGTCCTAGTATGGTTCTCATAATCTTTCTGTCTGCAATTCTTAAGTCTTCTTCATCTTTTTTAAACATCGTCATTGTTTCCCCTGCATATAATAATATTGGTCTAATTATGGTGTTATAAATGCTCATCTTGCTTTTTTTAGTCAGTGTTTTGCTTTTAAGTAATCTTTTGTTTGCAAAATAAGCTTTATTCGCTGCTAATATTTTTTCTTTTATTTCGGATTTCCTTTCTCCGGATTTACTTATTGTAACTCCTAGGTATTTGAAGTATTCTACTTCTTCAAACTCGGAACTTCCTATTTTGATTTTTTTCTTCATTGGTTTTTTTCCCTAATCTTAATATTTTTGTCTTTTCTTGATTTAATCTTAGCCCCATTACCTCCCCTTTCTCTCTTTATTTCTTCAAGCATGTCTTTCATTATTTTTCTGTTCTTTGCAATAATAGAAATATTATTTGCATATGCAATTATTTGACCACCTCTTGTTCTGAGATTTCCTTTATTTATATTTCGCAGTACATATTCTAATGCTAGATTAACTAGCGTCGTTGATAAGGCATCTCCTTGTTTCATCCCTTTATTTATACTGAATTCCGCTGTCTCTCCTCTTTGTGTCTTTATGCTTATTTTTGTAGTTCTCAATGTCATTTCTATTAATTTTCTGGGTTTATGTGGAATTTTTAATTTTTTAAGTGCTGTCATTAATACGTTCCTTTAATTGAATCAAATGCCTGTTTGAAGTCTATGAATAACATTTCCAATTCTAATTTATACTCGTTTGCTTTTTCCATTATTTGTTTTTATTGTGTGTATTGCATCTATTGTAGATCTTCCTTCTGTGAGTCCACATTGATACTTTCCTACAGTCTTCTTTGTGATCTTTGATAACCTCTTTTTTATTATTGATGTCAATATTTTATATGTTGTATTTAGTAATGTTATTCCTCTATAATTTTCACAGATTTGTTGGTCTCCCTTTTTATGTACTGTTATGATCTGTCCTACCTCCCAGTCACCTGGCATTTTCTCTTCTTTCCATATATTTTTCAATAGTGCCAGTATTTTTCCCCTTAGTTCCCTTCCCCGTATTTTATTAGTTCCATATTAATTCCATCTTTACCTGGGGCTTTTCCATTTTTACTTCTCTGTATTACTTCATCCAATTTCTCTAATGTTGGTTCTTTTGAAATTTCGATGTCTACTTCATTTGCTTCTTCTTCGTGTACTGTTTCCTCCTCGTCATGCATTTCTTCTTCTGTTGTTTCCTCCGTCAAAAGCTCTCTGTAGTAATCTCTCCATACTTGCTTGTATTCTTGGTCCTCTATTATCACTATTCCCTCTCTATTTTTTATTCCGTTTGTTTTCCCTTGTATTTTTTGTTTTGTTCTTTAATCTTTTTGTGAAAACTTTTCGTATTTCTGTTTGTTCTTTCCTGCTCTATTTCCTGCATTTTTTTGTCTACCCATCTTCTTTTATTTTGCCTTATCATTTTCTTAGCATACCTTCTTAATTTTTCATATTTTTCTCTGTCTTCCTCTTTATCTGTTCTTAGCCATTTATTTCTGGCTTGCACTTTATTTTTTGATCGTCTCCATTCTGTGCTTATATCTTCTACTTTATATTTCTCTTTTACTTGAACTGTTACTGCCTCCTCATATTTTTTTCTTACTTCTTCATTACTCAATTTATTGACATTCCACTTTTTATGTTGGTTTTTTTGTTTTGATTCAATTTTATCTTTTTGTCTTAAAATGGCTGTGACCATGTAGTGGTCTGAATCTGCACACGCACCTCTGAATGTTCTTACATCTTTTATTGACGATTGTTTTCGTTTATTAATCATTATGTGATCAATTTGACTATATGTAAATCGCAACTTACTGTTCTTTATTTTAAACATGCCACAATTTTCCTTTATATTTTAATTTAACATACATACATTACATACAATTTATTATTTTAATTTCCACTTCGAAAATCGTTTTATGTAAATAAAATATATTAATGTTTCGTATTTTAAGTACGATTTACGAATTGGAAATCTAAACATCAAAATAAGCTTATTTTAAAGTCACATTGTATCTTATTCCCAATAAAAATAATAAACTGCAATATGACATTACAATAAAAAAAGCTTCTGTTTTATCAATATACTGTTGTGACTTTTAGATGAAATTAAAAGTACTTCAGTGAGTGCATGTAAATATTTTCATGTTGAAGCAAGGAATGCCTCTGAAGAATTTTATAAAGCAGTAAGCAGAAAGACTTATATAACATCAGCTTCATATTTGGAACTGATTAAATCGTTTACTGAACTAACCAATCGCAAACAAGAAGAAATTATGACAGCAAAAAGAAGATATCTTGGTGGTTTGGAAAAGTTATATCATGCATCAGTCAGTATAGGTAAGAACTGTTCTATCATGATAATCACAAGAAATTAGTGGTTGATTCCCATTAATAAATAATAAAAAAATAATTTAACTTTAAAACTACTTTACTGGTGACGGCATGAGTTTCTATTGAGACTAGGTTAGATAAACAATAAATTTTGATGGAGTTCGGCCCTGACAAAAGTTGTGAACAAGACGTTTGTCTCGGGTCTTGATATTTTTGCGTTAAACTGTGAAAATTAAACGTTATAAATTACAGTTAAAGTTTACCAACATTATTTAAAACTGTAAGTTTAAATATTTCTTATTAGTTAAACTTAAAAACGCATTCTAAACTAGATTGTTTTTTGCTAGGGCAGAGAGGTACTATATTTTTGCTACTGTGAAGAATAACAAATTGGTATGTCGTCGGATGTAACTATACAGAATGTCTCTTCAAAGAGCAAATCTTATTCCTTGGCAGCATCACAGCAGAAATTTCCTACTAAAGATCAAGCGATTATTTTTAGTGCTATAAATAACGTCCGTCTTCAGGATTATTTAATCCCGCTAGGAACTTTAATTAATTCAAAAAATATTTTATTTTCTTCTCGGTTATCTGATAATAGAATATGTTGTAACGACTATTTTGCTTACCTCAGGGTAAGAACATGGGGTAGAAGATTGGGCAAACAAAATCAGTTGGTTGTTGGAGAGCTGGGTCGTAGATAAGTTGGAGATATGGGGGTTGGGGGGTTTCATATAAATGGCTTGGGGAAAAGGAATCAGAATCTAAAAGAAATGGAAATATTCAAAAGCCCCTAGGTTGGGCGCCAAAATTGTAACGAAAGTACAATTTGGGGCAAATCTAAAAGAAGGCCACACGTTGGGGGCGCCAAAATTGTAACGACTATTTTGCTTACCTCAGGGTAAGAACATGGGGGAGAAGATTGGGCAAATCGAAACAAGTGCGTACGGCACTGACTTGGTTGTTGGAGAGCTGGGTCGTGGAAAAGTTGAAGATATGGTGGTTGGATTGGGGCAACTACAAAAAAAGAAATAAAGGGGTACTTATACAAATCTCTTGGGACAAACAAAACGAAAATAAACCGAAAACACCTCAAGGAATTTAATATAGGGCGCCACCTGAGGTGCCTAATTATACCTACTACAACCACTAGTTGTAACTAGGGAAATAATTATAGAACATCAAAAGTATAGAAAAAAATATCTTTTTCAAATAAAACTCAAAATAGATCAGACAAACAAATTAAACGTATATTTTTGTCTCAAACAAACAGTTTCTAGGTTTCATGGTCTCTAGGTTATAATATGGCCAATTAAGATTATTAAAATTTTATGGATATCCTTTTTATGAAAAATATTATTGAATTTAATCTTACATATGGAATATCTTTTATATAAAATAATCAAATTAAAATTGTCTTATAACAACAATGGATTTAAGCAAAATGTCATATGTCAACATAACAACTTGAGACAGTTTAAATTATGACATTTTTATCTACGACAACATAATATAAAACTTTAATTATTACAAATTCTATTATTGGCGACGTGCAAGTACTTGGAGGGGATACGAGAAACGATCGTGCGCGAGTAGCGGAGAAATTTTGCATTTTTTAGTGCACATTTCATAGATTTCATAAATTCATATTGTCAATTGTCATATTTCATATTCGTTTTGTTTATTTACATTTACACCTTCTGTCTCTGAAGAAAATGGGATTTAGGAAATGCTGTGTTATAAATTGTAAAAATACAACAAAAAAATTGTCAATTTAAGTTTTATTCGTTTCCAAATTCGAAGCACAAACCTACTACAAAGAGAAAGTGGATTTATATCATAAAAAAGCATAAGTAACATAACCCAAATTATGCATTATTCTTGCGCCCGATTTTAAAGTCAGTTCAGTATGAAATAAATAATAAATAAATGTTCACTTTTAAGTGTAAATTTTTAGTTTCATAACACTCACTTAGAGTTCATTTTAACCCAAAAATCAAGTTTAATGTTTAAATTTTATTTTTTTGAAGTTTACAAGAATGCATCAAGTTCAAGTTTTTCTGAAGATGCATTAAGATATATTCGCTGTCCAAAAGTTTACAGGGAAAGAATTAATTGTTCAAACCAATATGATGATATCATGGGCTTAACCTGCTAATTTATGCATTAGCATTATTTAGGGTAATTTATTTTTCTAAATTCTTCCATTATTTTTTGACATTTGCCACTACTAAAGCTTTTCCCTTTGACTCAGTGCTGGGTTGAAAAGTTATTTGGTGATTTACTTTCTCAAATACAGTTTTTATTATTGAATCCTCTAATGCTGTAATTCAATAATATATTTATTTGTATTTACGCTACATCAACGTTCTTCTTCTTCTTCTTCCTTTATTGGGTAATATCCCAGGGGATAATTTGCCCAGCTAACACTAAATTGAAATTATTTTATATTGAATGAACACTATGTCGAAACTTCTTCTTCTTGGGCCAAACAGTTAGTATAGGAAAGTCTATTCAACACAGGATAAAACTTTTCTCGCTTGGGGGTATCAACCAGTCTTTTTTTGCATAGTCTTTTTTTGATGAGGTCCTCAGAGTTCCACAGCAAACTCTTCTGCAGCTATCTACTTGATTCAATAGCTACTTTAATGTGGACTCTCTAAGTTCCTCTTTTTTCTTTTTTTTTCTACCAACGGATGATAGAGAACCCAGATGAAAAAAAGAGAATAATTTGTAAGTTTGTGTTATAGTAGATAAGATAGGAATATATAATTATAGATTGATTTTGGCTAGATTAAGAAAAGTAATCAATAAATTTAGTCTTTAAGGATTAAGATTGGATAGGAAAGAGCATATCTCTATAGGAGTTTGTAGTTTTGTTTTAACCAATTCTTTGTAGAGGTCAAAATTTGGAGAAACGTTTATTGGACACTCTAGGATAATATGATTCAGAGATCCAATTTGACCACATTCACAGTACGGGTTATCCTGAATACCTATGCGGAATAAATGAACCGGAGTGGAACAATGTCCTGTTCTTATTCTAATTACTGTGGTGATATGCCTTCTGTCTTTATAAGGAAATTGATTGAACCATGGTGATTTGTTCCATGTATTGACTATTTTTCTATAAAACGACCCTTTTGATCTATTTGAATTCCTTCTTAAGCCCATAGAGTCCAAATTAGCTTTTTAATATAAAATAAGTAGTTTGAGTAATGCAATTTAACTTTGGCTGGCATTTTTTAGTGATCTTCCAATGTTTGCCAATTTGTCTGCAACACAATTGCCCTTAATATCCGAATGCCCTGGAATCCAAGCCAAAATAATACTGATGTTCTGTTGATTGGCTTCTACAATGCGCCTTTTGGTCATGATAAAGGTATGTTCAGTTTCCATTGAGTAAGATGTTTTCCCTATCTTTTGGATAGCACTCTTAGAATCAGACAAGATTAAGGCCCTCTTGATATCGTTCTCCAAGATAAATTGAACCGCAAGATTAATTGCAATAATCTCTGCAGTGCAAACTTGAGTCTGCGTAGGGAGTTTACTAGAGTATGAGTATTCAAAGTCAGGACAAAAAACACCAAATCCTGCTGAGCCCTTACTATCAACTGACCCATCCGTAAAGATTATAGTGTGAAGTGGATTGTCAAGTGAGATTCTTTGAAATTGAATTAATGCATGTTCATCACTTGTATTAGATTGCACATTCCTAATAGGGATAGAAGTTAATTGATATTCTAATTCAAAATTGTGACACGGAAATAAGTCACTAGAAAATAAATTTGGGGTATATTGGAATTTATTCATGATGGAAACTAAGAGGGGAATACTTTTTTTTATTCCAGTAATTAGGATTTGATTGCATTGATATCTGTAATTCATTCAAGGCAGAAATTATCGGGTTATTAATTAGCATCAGATTTTTTAAGAGGAATTTAGAATTAAGCCATTCCCATCTGTACTTGAGAGGAATTTGACCACTTTCACCTAACAATGCATAAATATGGGTAGATCTCATACATCCTGTTATGATACGAATACTCTTATATTGTAATTTGTCTAACCTGTTGATTAGCGCCTTGGGACAATCTGATAATATTTGACATCCATAATCTAAATGACTCTGTATCAAACCATTATGAACTATCTGGAGAGTTTTAGGATCACTACCCCAATATGTTCCACATATAGCTCTCATTACATTCAAGCTACGACTTACCTTTAATTCTATATTAAATCCACATATGATTTCCACTTTAGGTTTTTTTGAATAACTACCCCTAAATATTTCACTGTATCGACCCATTTAATTGCATGACCTCTAATTTTTAAGTTTGGAGGATTAATTTTACGATTTCCTATTTGAAATATAATTGCTGAGGACTTATTGTAAGATAGACTAAAGTTGTGTTCTAATAACCAGAGATCCATCCTTTCCATTAATAAGTTCAAAGAATTAATTAATTTAAGTAGATCTGCCCCACTAACCAAAATAACCAAATCATCTGCATACTGTATCAGATTAAAACCGTTGGGAATAATCTCGTATAAAGATAGGGAATACAGATTAAATAATATTGGACTTAGAGGGGAGCCTTGAGGTAAACCTGATTAGTTTTTCTTGGACCATGAATTTGACCAGTTTGGTCCTTTACATAAATACTACGATCATTTAATATAGAATAAATGACATTTGCTAGTTGAATAGGAATGTTATATTTAATAAGTTTAGAGTATAAAAGAGAGATCTTGACACTATCATAAGCTGCTGAAATATCTAGGAAAAGTCTACGGTAAATTGATTCAATGAAAATCTTTGTAGTATTTTAGAATTTAGTAATGAAATAATCATTCCATGCAACCTCTACCCCTTCTAAAACCAAGTTGCAATGGATTTAAAATATGATTGTGTTCTAAGAACCACTCAATTCTGTTTTTAATTAATGTTTCCAGCATTTTACCAACACACGATGATAGAGCTATTGGCCTATAATTAAGTG